TGCTGACCGTGACGACCAGCAGAGTAATGGACTTGGTCTGCTCCGTGAGGGAAACATTCAGTACGGCGGAGTCGGTGAATCGCAGGCGCAGGTGATTCCTCTGCAGGGAGATGTCCAGGCTAACCTCCGTGAGTTCCAGCACATCCTGGTAGGCACGCCTGCAATGAGGTATTCAGGTGAAACTGACTTAAGGATTTTCACTGTAACTTACCAATATATGAAGCGGTTTCTGGTCTGCACGTTCTTCCTGCTTTTGTAGCAGTAGCCGCCGGAAGTTTCGAAGGTCTTCAGATCCTGCAGAGTGCTCTGGGTTCCTATGTATTTCGCGTGCGAAGTAAAGGTTCAGACTGAGATTCACCGGCAATGTAGCAAGCAACTCACCCGTGTTAATCTTCACTTCGATCCACTCCGGCGGACTGAGGTTCCTTGGGATGACCTCCCGGTAGCTCATGTTGGCATGCAGTTTGGAAGTGGGCATCTTGCAGATCGAGCAAAATTATACGAAAGTCCAAGGAAACAGAAAACTATTGGCGGCACCGGCGTAAACACGCTCACTAGCAGTGTTGAAAAGGGCAACAACGCATGGGGTCAACCACACAAATGTGTCAGATTAACTTTTTACAACTTTACAAAATGGTTTAAAAAAATGTTTAACCTGGTTTTAGACTAGTTTGAAACATCAAAGAACATTATAGGATATTCCTAGTACGTTTTTATAAAATATTTATTGTATTTGAAAGGCATTTAAGTTATTGAGTTTTAGTATTGTAAAAATATGTTTATAGCGGGTAGCATTAACCGCACCTGGTCACACTAGCATGGTGATGCAATTTCGAGTGGAAACCATTTTCATCGGTTGAAAACAAGTAATCGCCATCACTAGCTGCACATGTGTTCTTTGTTTTTGATTCGGCTTTGTTATTTTATTATTTTATAAATTAAAAGCTGTTTCCGGTATAGAAATGAGTGGCCAGGAGGAAGAGACCATAGTCTGTTTGCCTGGAGAGCGTCTTTGCAGGACCGAGGACAACATAGTGTTGGGCATTGGAACCTACGAACAGAACGGCTATATCTATGCCTCAAAGTCGGGAATCGTGAGCATCGAAGAGTCCGGGGAAAACGTGAGTTGGCTGTCTAAACAATGTACCAATTTAATCAGTACATTTCCATTGCAGTGCCAGGTGGTCAGTGTGCATAAACCAGGCTTCCACCTGACAATTCCAGCCACCGGAGACGTGGTCACAGCTAGAGTTCTCGTCACAACACCCAAATTTGTCAAGTGCGCCATTTTCTGTGTGCGGAATGTGCTGCTGGAGAGCAGCTACCGAGGACTCCTGCGCAAGGAGGATGTGCGGGAGACAGAGAAGGATCGCGTCGACATCTACAAGTCCTTCAAGCCTGGCGATGTCATCCTTGCCAGAGTCATCAACCAACTGGACCAGTCCTTCCTCCTGAGCACCGCTGAAAACGAACTTGGCGTGGTCATCGCCTATGCCAGCGATTCCCGGAAGACCCGGGTGCCCATGGTTCCGGTCGGTTGGAGCGAGATGCAGTGCCCTCAGACCACGATTAAGGAGCCACGCAAAGTGGCTAAGGTCCTGCCAGAGAGTTCAATAAACGCTGTGAAATAAGGCCAACCAAATGCTAATCAAAACATTCAATGCTTGTACTGAATTGGGGAACTGTTAATTAGATATGATTTAGTAGTTTATTAATGGCTAATTAATTCTTTAACTTAGCAACCAGAGCTCAGAAACATGTTTTCTTCACAATTGGTTGCTTTTTTTTCTCTCCATAGTAACTTGTTGCACTGAGTAAAAATAATCTTAATTTCCAAAAAGAGACTTAAAATAAAAGTTCATTTTTTTAATAGATTGTATACTAAACGCGCAAAGTAAATGTTTTTAAAATTATTTTTTACGTAAATATTTATGGTCAATTAAGGGGAGAAATGCTGATCTCTGGTTTCCATAGTTATGCGCTTTATTTTTGAAATCAATCTTTGATTGGTTTTCATGTTTTGGTTGTTAGAACGATTCAACAAGAGATACGAATTTAATATTAGATCGTCATGCAACTATCTGAACTGAGATAACTTTACCTATAAGACGCATATAATATTAAAGTTAGAAGGCCATTTTGTTGGTTAAGGGACTATAAGTTACTTTTTTTTAATATTTTGGGATTGACTTAAAAACTTCTTAACTTTTTTAGTAAGAAGGAAGTATTAGATAATTTAAAAAATCAATATACAAGCACATGCACTTTATGAAAGTCGACATAAAATTTTTAGAGAAGAACGACAGGTACTTACTTCCAAAAAACCGGATTACAATAACATGCCATTGCACGTGTTCCCAAAAAAGAATTAAATAAGGCAAATAAAAGGTAATGTGGGCACAGGCGTCAGAGGCGTAAAAAACCCGTAACCCGTTGCCAATCAATGTCGCTGGGAGCTGTTGTTGATGGATGACTATTCCTATGCAAATATCAGTTCGTTCGCGTGCAAGAGCTGCGACTAATTCAATCACAGGAGCAGGAGCTAGAAGCCAGGAGCAATGAGCTGCTCCTGGACTAGGCCACCGTATCATGTCTTGCCGAAAAATGCAAATGCATTGGTAATGTTACAGGTGTGCCGGTGGGCAGGGTGTTGAGCGAGTCCTGGGTCCCGGACCGGGGGATCCAAACAACCAATCGTTGTTTGGTCGATGAGAAACGCAGCCGGCTCGTTTTGGTGGCTCGAAGTTCGAACCCCGGTTAATATTCAAATTAAATCGAGGGGGAACACGGCCAATATGCGATGCAAGTGAACAGTCGGGCGGGTAGTTGGCCCTGTCGTTGTTGTCGTCGTAAAGTCCCCAGTTCCGGCCAGTCCCAAAACATAAGTTCCAGCCTATTGTCAGTCGAGGACCAACAGCAGAAGAGCCACGGCAACAGCAGCGCAAACGAACAGGGAACCCAAGCAACTCATCATGGTGCAGATTTCGCAGACAGAGGAGGACATTAAGATCTCCATCGAACTCAATCGACTGGTGACCCGCAAACCGGACGTTGTGCTCCTGCCGCAGTATTTGAAATTCAACAATCCACCTATTTTCTTTGAGCGTCATTTGGCCCAGGAGATTGACGAAATGGCGAGGTGAGATTAAAACTTATCAGTAAAAAAGGACAATTAAAAAGTAAAATAGATTAGAATTCAGTTAAATAGCTCTATTTATTAATTTTTTTTAAATTTCGGAATCATGCCTTGCTAAAAGTAACACATATTTTGGATCATTGGATATAACCTTTAGATCCTTGCAGAGAATATTATAATTTTGGTCAGAGGCTTGTAAAGCAGTGAAGGAAAAGTTTCCTACCCTAAACATTATACATATTCTTTATCAGGATTGCTTAGGGAATCGATATAGCCATATCCGTCTGTCTGATTGCTTTATCACTATCCAAATCTTTTGTTTTGTGCATACGTTGATTAGGGTAAGAGCGTATGCCGATCAGGCGTCTATATCCTATAGCTCCCAAAGAAAAAAATTGCTAAATAAAGCTGTTCGTCAAAAAATTTCCATTCTCCTTGCTACTTTGGGCATCCGCTCCATTTAAGTAACTTAGGCGGAGTCTGCAAGGGTATTAAAACTTCGTCTTGGCTATGATAGCTTCCGTTCTCGTTTTTTCAAACTCATAATACAATTTTTCCTATGCACACACACAGATTTTTCTAAACATTGATGTCATGTAAGAAAATGATTTTGCCTAATATCAACGATATATTTATATTTTTAGAGTGGGGAGGAGATCTTGGATGGTCCTGGAATAATAAACACCTTTAAGTAACGTAATTTTGATTTTTTGCAGCTTCTGCCGCATCTTTAAGAACGAAGCCCGTATTGTTCTGGTAAAGAAGGAGAAGGGCTTCTGGCCTGAGATGTTTCAGAAGCTGGACAAGGAGGCACTCCTGCAGAAACGCCTGGAGATCGCAGATTTGATCGTGGAGCGGAACAAGAAGCGGGACGAGAAGGCCCTGGAGCGATACGAAAACAAACGGCGAGCTGAGATCGAGAAGGAGATCAAGCGAGAGACGGCCATGAGGGAGCGAGTCAAGCAGTTCCAGGAGAACTCGGTACGCGAGGCCCTGGTGGTTGATGTCCGCAAGGAGGCCAATGCTACGCCCAAGCCCGATCCGCTGCAGTATCCGCCGTCATCGGTGGCGGCCAGTCGCCTGGCCACGCCCCTCATGCGACCGCCCATGAGCTCGGTTCGCGGCAGCGGAAAGATTACAGTGAGCTTCACCACCCAGCACAAGCGGACCACGCCGAAGCGGGAGTCGCAGGCCACCATGGAAAAGGCGTACGCAGCCGCAGGGGGGCCCAATGCGAATGTTCAGTCTCCTATGGAGAGCCTGGATGAATAAGGTGGAGTGCATTACAGTGTTTCGTGTGTGAGACTGTGCTAAGTGTTTCCTATTTTATTATTCCATCAAATAAATCTAGAGGTGTTTGCTTTAATTGAACCGGAACCAGAAGTTGTTTTATTTAACGGGTATGAAAAAGAGGCCGTACTTTTAATCAATATATAAAATATAATATAGAAGTTCCTTTTCATTTTTTAGGTTCTGAAATTGGAATGCCTTCTTAACTTTACATGTTTATTTTCAGTTATTAAATTAGCCGATCGTTTATTTGCCTGTTTTTTATGGCTGGAGGTATGGCAAAAGGTGTATTTTCCGCCTGTTTAGTAGCTTTCAACAAAAAACTTCAAAACTTCAAAAACTTTCGAAAAATAACTAGAAGTGAAATGATTTCCCCACAAGTTTATTTGTAAGATAATATGTAAAAATATGTACTTTTCTTAAATAGTCATTGGTGGAATGTTCGAATATTATTTTACTTTTAGGTACATGGATCAATCCAACATAGTAATGAAATATATTTTAAACTCGAATTTCACTTTCAAATCCGATAACACAAATTTGCTAACACTGAATCGTGCCTATCGATAGCATAGTAGACAAACAGCTGACGTCGACGTTGCTTTTTCACACTTTTTTTTGCCGCTATGAAATTACAACTATAAAAAGTTCTTTACATTTTCTCAGAAAAACACACAGGCAACGCGAAGCAGCAGGAACAACCACTTAAGACCGATGACCGAGGCAGCAGGAGCAGCCAACCCAAGAGGCGCTGCCGGAGACCCAGGCACGTACGGCGAGGAAATGCGTCCGTTGGCCGGCGGAGGAAAGGAGCCGTCCAAGCTGGACGACCTGGTACAGTATGTGAGCCTCCATGTGCGGATCCCCACGCCGTTGACCGGAGTGGTGCTGCCCTTCGTGCCACTCTACCTAGCCGCCTTCTACCTGTGGATCCACGTGATTGGCGGCGAGGAAACTGGAACGGCCAAAGTCGAGCTGACATCCGTCGAAAACCAGACAACCACGGATAATTCCACTACTTGGAATGACGTGGGCTTTATCGCTGTGCTAGCCATCGCCTTTCTGCACATCCTCACGCTGCTCTTTTGCTACTGGAGCGTCCATGTACTGGCCTTCCTCACCTGCCGCCGGGTGAAGCTGCCCGGCGCCAATGTGCTGGCCAAAGTGGTGCCCACCGCCAACAACGGCAACTCCAAGATCGTGCCCGTACGCTCCTCCAAGCTGGAGGACGGCTCCACCCAGTATTTCTTGGTTTTTCAAAAGACGAAGTACGTTTGGAATGAGGATCGGAAGACGTTCCGCGCCGTCGAATTCCCGGTAAATGGACTGCTGAGCAGCTACTCCTCGTCCAGAGGTTTGGAAACGGAGGAGGCCATCAAGCGGGCCACGCTGACCTACGGCAACAACGAAATGGAAATGGTGGTTCCGGAATTTCATGAACTGTTCATAGAACGCGCCACGGCCCCGTTCTTCGTGTTCCAGGTGTTCTCCGTGGGACTGTGGTGCATGGACGACTACTGGTACTACTCCCTGTTCACTCTATTCATGCTGGTCGCCTTCGAGTGCACCATTGTCAAGCAGCAGCTGCGGAATATGTCCGAGATCCGGAAGATGGGAAATAAGCCGTACCTGATATACGCCTTCCGGCAGAACAAGTGGCGTCACATCGGTTCCGATGAGCTGCTGCCCGGTGATTTGGTGTCGGTAACGCGCTCCCAGAATGACAACATCGTGCCCTGTGATCTGGTCATCCTTCGAGGTTCCTGCATCGTGGACGAATCCATGCTTACTGGCGAATCGGTCCCTCTGATGAAGGAGTCGTTGGAATCACTGGACAATTTGAACGTAGAAATGGACGCTGAGGGAGATGGCAAGCTCTTTGTTTTGTTTGGTGGCACTAAAGTAGTCCAGCACACCGCCCCCACGAAAGAATCGCTTCGTGCTCCTGATGGCGGCTGCATTGGCTATGTGATTCGCACGGGTTTCAACACGTCGCAGGGCAAGCTTCTGCGAACGATCTTGTTTGGCGCAAATCGAGCTACCGAAAACAACGTCGAGACATTTGCTTTTATCGCCTTCCTGATGGTCTTTGCTGTGGCCGCCGCATCTTATGTGTGGGTAAAGGGCAGTGAGGATCCGGAGCGCAATCGCTATAAGCTTTTCCTGGAATGTACGCTTATCTTGACGTCCATCATCCCGCCGGATCTACCCATTGAGTTAACCTTGGCAGTAAACACTTCTCTGATCCAGCTTACCAAGTTTTTTGTGTTCTGCACAGAACCATTCAGGATTCCCTTCGCCGGAAAAGTACAAATCTGCTGCTTCGACAAGACGGGAACTCTGACCACTGATAATCTCATGGTAGAGGGAATTGCCGGACTAGCTCCCAACGGAGCTTGTGTGCCCATTGAAGAGGCGGAAGGAAGCACGGTTCAGGTGCTCGCCTGCTGTCATTCACTGGCCCTGCTGGATGATGGATTAGTAGGAGATCCACTGGAGAAAGCAACCCTATCGGCTGTGGATTGGACGCTAACCAAGATGGACAGCGTCATCCCGAAGCGTCCGCAGTTCAAGCCGCTGAAAATCATCCAACGCTACCACTTTTCATCGGCGCTTAAGCGTATGTCCGTGCTAGCTGGCTATCTTATGCCCTACTCCAATGAGGTGCAACACATAGGAGCGGTAAAGGGAGCTCCTGAGGTTATTCAAAAGATGCTGAGCAAAGTGCCCTCGGACTACGAGAAGGTATTTATCATACATTTTTACTTTAAAAGATTAATATTACCGAAATATTGCTTCCAGGTTTATTTGGAGTACGCTCGTCGCGGGGCCCGCGTCCTGGCTCTGGGCATTAAGGAGCTCGGATCACTGGGATCTCAAAAAATTCGGGAATTGAAACGCGAGGAAGTCGAGTGCGGCCTGACCTTCGCTGGATTCGTGATAATTTCCTGTCCTATGAAGCCCGATTCGAAATCGGTGATCAAGGAGCTCATTCAATCCTCTCACAAGGTGGTGATGATCACGGGCGATAGTCCGCTTACCGCCTGCCATGTGGCCCGAGAACTCCGCTTCACCCGCAAGAAGCTGCTCATCCTGACCCCACCTGACCAGGAAAATGGAGACAGCTATAGTTGGGTATCCATTGACGGGGATCAAACATACGAGCTGGATGTTACGAGTGATAGCAAGGGCATCTCCCTTTTACTGAGCTCGCATGACCTCTGTATCACCGGTGAGGGGCTGCGGCATCTGCAGCAGAATCATCAGCAATACATGCGCCATCTGTTGCCACAGATAACAGTCTGTGCCCGCTTCGCACCCAAGCAGAAAGAGTTCGTGATCACACAGCTTAAGCAGCTGGGCTACTGCACTTTAATGTGTGGTGATGGCACCAACGATGTGGGAGCCCTGAAGCACGCCAACGTGGGCGTCTCCTTGCTGACCAGTGCGCCAGTGAAGCGTAAGCGCACCGAGGAGGAGCAGCAGCAGGCGACGGCGGCGGCCAATGCGGCTGCTGCAGCAGCTCAGGCAGCAGCCAATGCCAACCAACAGTTGACGCCAAGAGAGCGCGCACTGCGTCGGCGACAGGAACATATCAACCAGACACAAGCTCGCCTGCAGAATGCGATGCGGGACTTGGAGGAGCAAACTATGGTCAAGTTGGGTGACGCCTCCATTGCGGCGCCATTCACCAGCAAGTCATCCTCGATCATGTGCGGTGCGTTTAATGACTTTCTGTTTTTACGACATATATCTTCATTTTTGTTTGTTTCCTTTTAGTTAACCACATCATTAAGCAGGGTCGCTGTACGCTGGTAACCACACTCCAGATGTTCAAGATCCTCGCCCTCAACGCCCTTATTCAGGCATACTGCCAGTCCGTACTTTACATCGATGGCATCAAGTTTAGCGATACCCAAGCTACCATGCAGGGCATCTTCATTGCCGCCTGCTTTCTCTTCATAACACGAGCTAAGGTTGGTAATCGACTGACCAAGTAATTTAACTTTAATTTTAATAATGGGTCCTTATTCTTCATTTAGCCACTGAAAACTCTGTCCAAGGTGGCTCCACTGCCAAACATCTTCAATTTTTACACGATTTCGACTATTCTCAGCCAGTTTGCTGTGCATTTTGGAACTCTCTACTACCTTACCAGCCAGGCCAATATCTTGGCACCACCCAGGTATGTTAAAATTGAACGAAGAGTTGTTGTAATGTAACCATAATTCGAAATTATTTTCCAGAGTGGGCAAAGTGAAGTTGTACATTGACATGGATGCTGAGGAGAAGACTAAATACGACCCAAACATTGTAAGCAGCACGGTTTATATAATTTGTTTATCACTGCAAGTGGCCACCATTGCAGTCAATTATAAGGTGGGTTCGAAAATATATGGTGGAGAATATTTTACTAATCTCTATTTTAAACAGGGCCATCCATTTATGGAGAGCTTACGCTCCAATCGCATGCTGATGTATGCCATCGGAGCATCAGCGACATTGGTGATTCTTCTGTCCACGGGCCTGGCGCCCGAACTAACGGAATTCTTTGAGATAATTCATTTCCCAACGGAGGTATGTGTTCCTGAATTTATTGTTGTAAGATGTATTTAATTTATATCGTTTTTAGTTCCGCACAACGTTGCTCGGTGTCCTGGTCCTTGATATTGTAGGGGCCTTCCTTTTGGACCGCATTTGCTCATTCCTCTTCGGGGAAACGCGTCGCAAATCCAAAGTGCTGAACTGTTAGGACCATTTAATACTAAGTACTAGAAAAGGAGACCATTCAAAAACCCAACGTTCCAAAAGATAGATAAACCTTTTCATTTAATTTGTATCCCCCTTTATGGTAAACAACTTAACGTGTTTAATGGCGTCGGTTTCTTAAATGTTCAAATTCCGCATCACTGAATCAACATAATGCATTTAGAGTGCATTACCGGGCAAATGTATTATCGAGCAGCCTATATCATTTTAATTTGACAAAGCAACAACTTTCGATATCTTCGACTCCCGTATATGCGAATAATGAAATTGTCGTAATATTTGTAATGCTAATAAAAATAGAAAAGTTTAAAAAAAATATAAGTACTTATTTGTAAATCATTTAAGCCTCTTGTAGTAAAAGGATTTTAAATTTGGAGTCTTGGGAATGATCGACTTCGATCAAGATGATTATGTCGTTGTAAGTACCGAGAATATTTAAATACTTTTTGGTGCTTAATAATAAAACAATATGCTGCGATTTGACTGCAAAAAGATTTGTGTTACTGGTTAAAAAAATGCTTGTAAATGACAACAAATCATTAGCCACAATGCTCTTGTTTTTAAATTTGTATACCCTTGCAGAGGGTATATTGATTTCAGTCAGAAGCTTGCAACGCAGTGATGGAGACTTTTCCGACCCCATAAAGTATATATATTCTTGATCAGCATGACTAGACGAGTCAATCTAGCCATGTCCGTCTGTCCGTCCGTTTCTACGCAAACTAGTCTCTCAGTTTTAAAGCAATCGGGCTGAAACTTTCCTTTCTTTCTTATATCTTTTGCAGGTAGTATAAGTCGGAACCAGTCTGATCGGACAACTATATCTTGTAGCTCCCATAGGAATAATCGGAAAAGAAAATTAAAAAAATTTATATCTTTGGTGTTTTATAGCATATATCCTCCTAAGCTTGGAAATAACATTTTTTAATTAGTTTTGAATTTTGAATTAAATTTTATCGAAAACGGACGACTATATCATATAGCTGCCATAGGAACGATCGGAAAATTGGTGGGAAAATAATATGAAACAAATTATAGCTTCGGTGTTTTTTAGAATATAACCTCCTACGCTTGGAAATAACATTTTTTAATTAGTTCTGAGTTTCGAATTTAATTTTATCAAAATCGGACGACTATATCATATAGGAACGATCGGAAAATTGGTAGGAAAATAATATGAAACAAATTATAGCTTCGGTATTTTTTGACATATTATCTTATACTATTGGGAATATCATTTTTTTTTTTTTAAATTTAATATTTATAGCTGCAAGGGTATACAAGCTTCGGCTTGCATAAGTTAACTTCCTTTCTTGTTTAATTTAAAATATATTTAATCATGAGAAGCAGCTCGACCGGCTGTCTTCCGGTAGAAGAAAAAAAGTTTGACAAGTATTCGTGTGAACAAAGTAAACATGGTCAGCCTCTTGCGAAGAAGGAAGGCCTTTAACACCACTATCCTTGTTGTAAAGATTCTTTCCAGTTTGATTTTTTAGAGTATTTTTAGGTCTTCTTTCAAGCCAAAGCTCAGATATTTCTCTTTTTGGATACTACTTTAGTTTTATTATTATATTTTGATCTCCATAAATAATCATCCACGAGGTAATCAAAATCAAAAATTAATTGTGTTATCTTAAACTTAATTGTTTTTGTCATATAATGAATAATGAATTAATACTTATGTTATCTTAAACTTAATTTTTTTTTTCTTATGAAGCTGTTTTCCATAATCCCAAAGATTTTAATCAATTGCATCGAGCCATTGCTTTTAATGTCAATCCAATACTGTGCTTTTTTTCTTCATAAAGTTTTCCCTAATCCCTGTGTAATCGCAGAAAAACCAATCCCATAAATATAAAAACGAATGGGGAACAATTTCATATAAAACCAGCGCAGGACCAGTTCACCCTCGGATGTGATATGAGCGCGTTATGGGCGTATTATCGCTGAGATGCGTGAAATATTATCTTTGTCGCACCTTTTCCGCCCCCAGAGCACCCACACAAGGACAAACTCCACTTTGAACATACATATCTATGTTTTTTTCCACCCCCAGTGAGGGATTGCAATTCAATGCGGTTCGGGCTGTTGCTTTCTTTTTTGTGTCATTCCCAGCTTTACTTTACCTTTTTGGGGGAGAGAGACTAATAGCGAGAGAGTGCTAAACGGGCACGCTGTTGCTTTCGGCACACGCCTCACTGTGGGTCAATTCAAGAAAGTGACCTCTGGAAATGAAAAGAAAATTAAACGCGAATTCTTTAGCATACATCCTTTTATTTTTTTTAAAAGTATTAAGTACGGCTTCAAGAAACCTCAAGTTTTATTTATTTAAAAATGGGTGGGATTCAATTGATTAGTTTAAAAAAAATTAACGGTTTTACCTAAACTACCATTTAATTTAACAATCTTCTTCAGAACTTATAATAATTTTTAACTTTTCATATGTACCCAACACTTTGGTTTAAGGATTGTATTAAAATCACTAACTTTAATTTTAAGTTTAAGTGTTAAGCGTGGCTTTGAGCCTGTAGCGGACCCACTGTATGCCCCCTGCCTGTGACGTCACGGCTTTAGCTTTTGGGTTAGCTCACTCCGACAGATACAGACACACCGAGAGATAGGAGGGAAGGTGAGAGAGCCACTCTTATCAGCAGCGGCATCGACAAATCGAAGACAAAACAAAAGCCGTCATTAATCCCGCAGAGAAAGTCGAGCGCATCGCTTATCGCACGGAATGCTGCCGCTGCTCTTGATTATTGCGACTCTCGCCAGGATCGACGCCCACTACACGAGCGGGGATGTGGTCTATCACTCGATGCCGCACTTCTGGACGGGCGTGGGCTTCTGTCCCGCCGGCCGGATCGATCACGAGGGGATTAGCACCGCCCTGGGCGATCCCGCCCTCCGGATCAATCTCCGCCAGATTTCCGCACTGCCCGTGGGCGCGGTGACCCATATTCGCATTCACTGGCTGCTTGAGCTGGTCCAATTCTTGCAGTACGACCCCAGTGGAATTCCGATTTATGATTTCTCCAAGTTCGATGATTTCATTGATTTCCTGCACGAGGAACTGCGCCTGTCTCCGGTTATGGAGTGGATGGGCAATCTGGGTGGGGTCTTTTTGGAAAACCCTTTGCACCAAGCTTTCTACTGGGAGCACTTGGTTAAAGCCACGGTCAACCACCAGTTGGGTAAGAATTAAATAATTATCTTTTGAAAAACTATATGTTTACTATTTTATACAACAGCGCGACATGGGTCCTCCAGATTAGCTAACTGGCGCTACGAAACTTGGAATGAACCCGACCTTCGTGGGTACAACAAGCTGAATTTTACGGATCTGTCCTACCTGGATTACGTCCAAGCTGTGCGTCGTGGTCTAAGTAAAGCTGGAAACGTGGACGCCCAAGATGGCAAGCTCCAGCTTCCCATGTATCGATCTTTGCGAGGTCCTGCGGGTCTCTTTAAGGACCCCAACAACCATCCGCTCTGCTGGAAGCTGTTGGAGCTATGTAGCCAAAGAGTTGTATATTGTCCCATAGATGTACTCACTTTTCATCGAAAGGGAGTCGAAGGAACTGCAACGGAGATCGTAAATGGTTCGCTATCCTTGATGGCAAAAATCTACGAGGAGTATCCCAATCTCAAGCAACTTCCGGTGGCCAATGAGTAAGAAATTGTTTTATATAAGGGTTTCTTAAGAAAATCTTTGGTACTGAATTTGTTTTATAAATTATTTTCCGGGTCACTCAATCGGTGTTAAACCTGTGTAATACCATCTACATTGGAAATACCATTAGATATATTTTTAAATCGACCGGGAGCTTTATAATTGTTTAAAAAATGTAATTTATTTTAAATTTATACTTGTTAAGGCTGTTTGAATTTAGGAATTTAAGAAATGTCATAAATTTAGAGAATTGATTTTCCTTTTTTCTTAGTGAATCAGATCCTGTGGCTGGTTGGAGTACTCCACGAGAGTTTCAGGCGGATGTTCGCTATGGAGTTACCCTGATTTCCACGGTGATGCAGTTTTGGCATGCCAGGCTAGCCGCCGGTCCTCTTAGCAGTTTGGAGTCGATTAGTCATGATAACGCTTTCCTGAGCTACCATCCCCACGAGTTCACGCAGCGCACGCTGCTTGCCCACTTTCGGATGAACGAGACTAACCCGCCGCACTCGCAGTTCATCCAGAAACCAGTCTATGCTGCTATGGGAATGCTGGCGAAGTTGGGCAACCGAGCTGCGGCTGTGGAACTGGTCAACATGGATACCAAGCACAGCGTAGAGGTCTTGCGTACCGTGTCTGGTGGAGTGAGCGGTCCTGGACAGTACATGGCCACTATATTCCTGAGTCCCGAGGAGGCGGGACCAAAGAGGACGGCCTTCCATCATAAGTACACGCTGAACATGTCGATAGCAAATGAGTCTGCGTTTGTCACGGAGCTTCTGGTGCCACAGACCACAGATCCGTACTACTTGTGGCAGCAGGCGGGAAGTCCAGCGTATCCCAACGTAACTCTAAGGGAAGCCATGCGAAGGGCTCAGACTCCTAAGCTCTACAAGACGGGACCCATCTGGCAGTATAACAGCGAGCTAGTAATCAACTCCGCCAGCATCCCTCTGCCCTGGGCGATGCTGCTCCGAGTGTGTTCCGCATCGTGGCCCAAGCTGCGCCGGCCGCAGCAACTCTCGATCGCGGAGGTAACCCATCGCGAAGTCTTTATCAGCTGGATGGAGCACCCTAAATCCACGCAGTGCCTTCTTAGCTACGAGGTGTGGTTCAAGGAACGCGACAACCTGGGCCACTCCGCCGACTGGCTGCTCATCTCCCGCGGCTGGCACCTGCCATATCCGTCTTTTCAGTATGCGCCCGGAGACAAGGGATCCGTCAATGGTAAGTATGCCAGCTACTTCAGTCAAAATTAAAATTTTTTTATTTCTATTTTATTTGACTGTAAAAAGAAATGTAACTTATGTATCACTTACCGAAGCATTTAAAACCATATTTCCCATAATCATCTCTGTTTCATCAACAGGTTTCTACAAAGTTCGTGGGGTGGATGTGTTTAATGAAACCAGCCCTTACTCACAAATAGTCGAATATCTGGAGTTGTAGTTCAACAAGCAGTTTATGAATCAAATGAACATATTTAGGCAATGTGAAAGCAAACATAATCAGGTTTCGGCTTGGCGCTTGTGAACCCCTCCTACTCTCTATCTGTCTCTCTTGGAATGGACTGACTTCACCGGCACAATCTTCTGGACTTGCGCCTTCGCCTTAACGCCGGCAATATCATATATACATTATATATATAAATAGATATACATATATAGTACATTATCTGTGTTGTGTTCGTAATATATAAATGCCTTTATCCTGCGACGGAATCGGCTAAAGCGTATATAGATATTTTAATTCCCATTAAGGGATATTTACAAAGGAATAACTTAGTATCTTAATCGGGAACAACCGCCGAGAGACGTGTTATAATAAAACAAATGATTATTTTGTTTGCTTTTAGCAAATAACTAATGTACTAAAAAGTGTTCAGCTCTAGGCGTCCAGGACCAGCCACTTTTCGTTGATGTGCTCCATTTGCTTGGTAAGAATGGGGTTGCGAACGCGTACTTTGACCTCCAGTTTGCCTCCCACTTGCTTGCGGCCATCCATAAGCTAAATTGAAAGTGCAAACAATTAATTTTTCTTTCATATTGCGTTATTTTGTATACTACTTACATCGTAGGTATCGTGAATGTCACACTTGGTCTCCAGCGGCTGCAGCTTGACATTTACGGTTCCAATCAACGTGTCCGATCGCAGGAACCCTCTGAAACAACACAGGGGCAGTTTACGACTTAGTCCACAACAATCTATACTGCAGCTATTTATATGCACGATATTAAACGCGTGGCATTGGATGAGGTTTTTGCGATTTGTTGGGAGTTGAGGCGTAAAGATTTTGAAAAATATTTTATTAAAATGGTCCACATGGAGAATAATGAAGTTCAATGATAAAACATATATGATGAAATATATGTGTGCTGTAACCGTGGCTGGTTCGATACTGTTTACGGGACCAAAGGAACATGCTGACTACGGGAGAAAATTAAATGAATTGAACAAATTTTGGGGGAACTTAATATAAGAGAGCAAATTAAATCTCAATCTAAACTTAACTTAAAATGCCAAATTAATATTAAATATCTAAGTGTGCGTTATGCAGTTTAATAATATTTTCTTTATTACTACTTTCTATATTTGAAGAAGTGGATTATCTTTCTAATTTCATAGAGCCTAATTCTTTTTTATAAAAACAATGCATTTTTAGAAAGACCCTATATTTTAATAGAGATTAATAACTATCAACGAGATATACTTCAAACAAATGTATACTACCCCTCTCCAACAAAAGCTTGTAATCCTTAAGAAATGAATGCGCTCGATTAAAGTCACATACCACCTCTGTTAGTCGAGATTAATATGCATGAAAAGCGACTTAGTATGGATTAAATAACTGTCCTTAGTTAGTTATGTTTATTATAAGCAACTTACCCCCGGGAATATATTTCAAACTTGACGCCATGGCGCTTAAAGATTCTCTGGAACTGACGATTGGTTCGCTGAATTTCAACCTTAAAGCGTTCGTCGTAGTCTGGACTGCTGGTGTCTCTAATAACATTGGTTTTAGTCTTAAAAGATTCATCCTAAAACAGAACAAATAATTTTGCAGACGATATTGTAAATTAAAGTCACCAACTTACATTCAACAGGGGAAACTCTACGCGAACATAGGTGTCTACATCCTTGGGATTGGACACATTATAGTTGATTCCTCGGACCACAACAATTTCCAGCTCACAGTCCGTAAGGTCTGTATTGCAATGTACAATATTGAAGCTTCGCTTCTCATAGTGAAACTTTGGCAGTGGCTCGTTCTTTCGCTTGGAATATCGCACCAAATCCAAATCTTTCTGAACGGTAAGAGCCAAATTTTCGAAACGATTCATGCCTGCTACATCCCCCATAGCCTTGTGATGATCTCGGGTATTTTTGCACATCATCAGCTGCTTTGCGAGCTGTTCCTCCATGCGAACACCAATCTCGCAGATGTCATCGTTCGGATCGCATTCTTCGGCGGACACAATGGCGAATGATGCTTCCAGATTGTCCCTTTGGGAGGGTGGTACCGGAAGCTAAGGTAGAACATATAACTTAAGTACATTAAAAGAAAATACATTAAGAATCTTACTGTACTGAGATCCACTGGCAACCCACTGCTGGCTGCATTAAGAAGCGAATCAAATCCCTTGTATATCTTGAGGTACTCCTTCGCCTGGTCGATCTCTCCGGCTTTTTTGGCCTCTATGGCAGCAAGCTTAAACTCCTTTTGACGCTCGAGGAGTAGCTTCATTTGCTGCTCGGCGAGATTGTTCTTTTGCTGATTGCCAGACGTGCGTGTGGTCAGCTCCTTGGCTTGTGGAGGGGAGGGCGCTTTTCGAGGAGCTGTTGGCGTGGTCGCACTGGAACTAGAGGGAGTTCCCCCGGCGGAAGTACTGGCCGTTGCGGGGGGCGATGTAGGTGATGTGGGAAGTGATGGTGCTGGCGCTGCCGGAGCAGTATCCCCAGTGGGCAGGGGTCCGAAGCCGGGTGGCACGGGCAGTTCATCGTAAGGCACAGGTTTTCCCGCCTTGTACAACTTAATGGCATCTTCGTATTGCTTCACAATCCTTCCAAAGCGCCTGGCCTTTCCAGTATTGTTTTCAGCTTTGGCTGCCGCCTCCACGGATTGGTATTTCTCCAAACGTTGATGCAGTGCCTCCACCATGTTTGTGGCATCAGCCGGAGCTGGAGCAGGAGCAACAGGTGCAGGAGCTGGTGCAGGAGTAGGTTCTACGACAACTTCTGGAGCAGCTCCCTCTTGCATTTTTTTGAGGAATTCTAGGAACTCAGCTGGCGGTGGCGGCATATCGCTGAGGTCAACTTCTTGGCCGTCCTCACACATCTTCACCACGACATCGAACTGTTTCACCACCTTAAGGAACTGAAGGGCAGTAGCTGTGTCACCGCTGCGCTTAGATTGTAGTGCAGCAGCCTTGTACTCGTTCTGACGGTTGCGCATTTGTGCCACGAGGGGATTTGGAGGCGTGGTTGGAGCAACAGATGTGGTGGGTGCCACTGGCGAGGTGGGAGTCGGCGGAGCTGGAGCTGCACGACTCGGTACAGGAGGAGGGGAAACAGGAGTCGAAGGAGCTGGTGATTCCTCTGCAGCCACTGGAGTAGCCTGTCCGCCAGCTGGCTTTACACTGACTTCCGGGGGTATATCATCCACGTTAATAGACTTGCCGGCCGCTGCCTGCTTATGCAGGTCCTGCAGGGTCTTAAGACCTCTTCCAAAACGCCTGGCTTTGCCCGCATCTCCTGCAGCCTTGGCATTTGCCTCGGCCTGCTTATATATTTCTAGGCGCTGCTTGATGATGCCCAACGTGTCCACAGTGGTAGTGGGCAGGAAGGTTTGGACGGGTTCCTCACTGGTAGCTGGTGGTTGGGCTACAGGCTCTTCTTCGTCTGCCTCCTCTACGCCACCAATTCCGCTGAGCTCGCCCAGCAAATCTGAGTCGTTTTCTAGATTATCATCATCATCATCGTCGCTGACATCACGCAAGCTGTCGGCAATCATTTTGTCCAAGTCACTGGCGGGGAGCAACTTCGCCTTGGGCTTGGCTTTCGGTCTGGCTCCACCTCCGCCGGCTATGGCAGCCAGCTCCGCCTCCAGGTCGCTGTCGCCACCATCGTCGTCGCCGTATCCAGCGCTGGGATCAAAGTCATCTGGGATTTCCGTAAGCCCAAACTAGCCGCACAAAACGAAAGTGAGATGGCGATGACTCATAATTAATAAATAGATGGACCTAGTCTGTTTGTTTTTCCTCTTACCTGCGATAAATCGTGCTGCCTTCGCTTGGCTGGCTCTGGCTTCTTTCTGGAGAACATCCTAGATTACTCGAGGGTTATTAAAAACCTAAAATAGGGCTCTAAAGCCTTTAAAATCCTTTGATTAATTGCGTCGCAAGCGCTGTTTATGTTTATGGGGATAAAAGTTAAGGTGACGCAGGAAATGTTGCTGAATTCCTGACGTCACTGGTACAGGGCTACTCAAAATAAATTTCCTTAATTGTCTTTCATTCTACGATTATTGTGTTATAATTTTACAAGAAGCCAACAAGTTTGTTTCGTTTGCTACAGTTATCCAACAGTATTCATTTTGAAGTTAAATTAAGCCACCTTCTAAAACACAGCACTACACTTTTACCGGGAACCAGGGCTGCGCACGCTAATAGGTACAGGGCTGCTCCGCCAGCTGACTAATCGATATCGCCACCAATCGTTATCGAGAGCCAGCGCACACACAGTGCAAGAGAGTTTGCGAAAAAACCTGGACAAAAAGCAAAATTGATTGCAAATTGAGCAGCTTGAGGAAGCAGGTTTTCCCCTTGACCAGTGCCGTGGAGTGCTCTAACCACCGTGGCCGTGGAGGCATCGCCAAGCCAGCGAAACCCTCGCCAGTGGAGTTCTCCCATCTTCCACTTCCTCCAACTCCGTCTTGGGGGCCAAAGGCAGAAAATCAGCAGAGACTTCGAGACGAGCAGCGCAGACAGCGGGGACTGGCACTGGCCTGCTGGGTTAAGCGTGGAAGTAAACAAACGGATCGGATTCCGGGTCGGGATCGGAGGAACGGGGCGTGGCTCGCTAACCAGGCGGCTTGGCAAACAAAACCAGAGGTGGCAACAAGTAGGCGGCAGGCATGGACGTGTCCCTCACCGAGCCCGAGACGCGCTTCTACAGTGAGTTGTTCCAATGCTGCGACGTGGAGAAGACGGGCAAGGTGCCCATGCTGAAGGCCACTGAGCTCTTCCGCTCGGCGGACATTGCCAACGAGACAGTGATTGAGGTAGGTCCAATTCGTTTGATCGTGAATGATTAATTATCCGGGTCTGGGCTTACAGATCACCGGCCTTGCGGGGATTCCCTCCACGGCACTGCACATCTCGCGAACGCAGTTCTATTCATGTCTGAAGCTAATCGCCGCCCACCAGGCGGCCATGCCCCTGCGCCAGGAGCTGATTTTGGCAACGTTTTCTCTACCACTGCCGCACTTTAGCTGGAAGGAGGCGGTCACAGCTCCGGTGGCTGTTGAAAATGGATTGACTGCCTTGCCCCCGCCGCCGCCCACAGATCGTAGGAACTCGCTGCGCCGTAACTCGCAGCAGGAGCAACTGCAGGACACCTCCGATGTGCCCAGCACCGACTCCGAAGTGGAGCAAAACGAATCCGTGGACGAGGCAGCCGGACACGGACGCGGCACAGATGGCAGTGGGGTCGTCAGCAGCAGCAGTCGCGAGAATGTCGGGGTTTGTACTTCTATCTTATCTATGACACATGCAAATAGGCTTATTAGTGACCGATCTGCGTCCATTTCTTATCTCTTTTAGCGACGTCGAGGGGGCGGTGCTGCTGGTGGATCTCCGGAAGCCTGGAGCACTAACAGTGACAGCCCCACGCCCACCAACAGCGTGGCCGAGCGGCCCTGGGCGCAGGACACCCTCTGGCAGGGATTGCTGGGCGACGAGCACCGCCAGCTACTGGGCACGGAGGAGGAGTCCTCCGATCGCCACAGTAGCGACGACGAGGACAACGAGAACGAACTGGTTACTATCTACCAGATAACCCCGGAGCAGCGCGAATACTATAACAAGCAGTTCCGGACGGTGCAAAGGGATCCGCATGGACTGCTCTCAGGCCAGGCAGCTAGGTGAGTTTTGAGGACTATTTTAAGTTGTAGTAACTTTCTGTTGGAACTTGGGTTTCTGAAAATATCGTTCCTTAATTTAAATAATAATTTCATGGTTATTTTCCACAGAAACTTTTTTGAAAAGAGCCGCATTCCTGTGGAGGAGCTGCGACACATCTGGCAATTGTGCGACGTTACCCGTGATGGAGCGCTAAGCCTGTCTGAGTTCACGGCCGCCATGCACCTGGTGGTTCTGAGACGAAACAACATTCCGTTGCCCACGAGTCTGCCCCACTGTCTGCACCCCAACGTGCTGCAAGCGGCTGCAGCTGGCAGTGGACAGAGAGTAACCTCCTCTTCGTCAGCGGCGCTGCCTCAGGAGCCGCCTGAGGCTGATCTCCTGCACCTAAATGACGACGATGAGGACGACCAGACAGACAATACGATCATAGCCGGCAATCTCAGCGGCGGCAGTTCCACCAGCAAGCCGCGTCCCAACGTGCCCAGCGACAAGAACATCATGAATCTGAGCAGCATCTCCACATCCTCACAGGCTAGCAACAGTTCCAGGCGAGAGGCTACACCGCAGAATTCGCTGGCTAAGAACCGCAGCATCTCAAACTCACCGAGTGTGGAAAAATCAGTGGCGGGAGCCGTATCGTCTACGGCAAACGCTGTAGACTCGAGCAACGCCTCCAGTCAGTGGACAAAGTTTAGCGAATCTCCTACAACAAGTGCTGCTCCGGTGCAGTCAACCACTGGGGCTGCACCTGTTGTAGCCGCCGGAGCAACCGCTCCTGCTGCCTCTAGTCCCGGGCTTAAGCCAGCTCTGTTTGACATGAAGCGCTCTGCTCAGGACGTGGTCTCCAATCCACAGATCCTGCACCCAGTGCCGCTAAGAGTGACGCCCATAGGTGAGTGTAAAACAGCAACAACCGGTTTTTTAATTTAGTTTAAACGTACAATTAAATATCCATTTCCAGGCACCGCCATTGCCTCCTCCGCTGAGTCATCTAACGACAACGAGAGCGTTGTGACCCTGCGCGAGGATAGTCCCAAGGCCATCTCTTCGACCGCAGTCAACAATCAGTCATCTGGATCTGCTGTTTTAACCGGAGTATCGGGAGTCGCTGGCTCCCATCGCGATAGCAGTGATCTGCGTGCCATCCAACGGCCTCAGGCCAAAAAGCTGCCGGCCAAGAACAGTGCATTGCCACCGCCACCGCAACGTGAGCCGAGCATCGGATCTAGCGGGCCAAATGAGCCGCCGGAGCCACAGGCCGCTTACATGGCGTCATTGGTGGCGTCCAAAAAGGACCCACCGCCCCTGCCACCGCCGAGGCCACATCGGCATGCGCGAAGCAGCAGCTTGGACTTAAACAAGTTCAAAATGGGCGCAACGGGCGGCGCCCAGCAGGCGGAGGTGAGTTATGGCCTATTTACAAACAATTTACTTAACTTGTGTATTTTAATCTGTGTCGTGCTATTGCCTGGGTCATTACAGCTTTGCAGGGGAGCATATTTCGATTATGTTTTACTACCCTCTGCAATGCTGAGTTAGACCAAGGAACTCCCAAAGATTTCTGTCTGTCCCATCCTTCTCTCTTTTTTTTCAAATAGTTGTGGTGTATCCTTGCAAATTATATGAATTTATAAAATTTGATTTAAATCAAAATAACACTTTGTAAGGAACAGAATATCATTTAAATTGCCTGCTTTAAAGTTTTTTCAATAAGAACTAAGTACCATTTTTGTTGGATTATTCGTGAAAAGTAGTAACACATCTTTGCAAGGATACCCGAAACTTCGGGGAGTCGAAGTTGCCTATTTCGTACATTTTGTTTGCTGTTTTGTTTAATACCTATAACCTGTGACATGTATATAAATATGCAACCCCACTCTTTGTTAAGATCACTGCGCAGGCCAGCTTCGATATGCAAACCTCAACGGGGTTTGCCGATTTCACGCACTTTGCCGACGAAGGCGCCGCGAACGTCGTAAGTCCAATCCTCAATGTATGCAATTCGTAAAGCATTCCACTTCAATTGGCCGTAGCTCCACTAGTGTCATGTGTCCAAATTCAGTAGCTTAACTATATAATGCATCCATTCGTATTTCAGTCTGACTAATTTGTGGTTAACTTATAGGTGGACGAGCAGCAGCTACACTCTTTGCCACCGGCAGCTCCTCCTCCACAAGCAGCGGTAGTGCCGCCCACGAGGATTACTCTTCAGCAGGCTCAACAGCGTGTTTCCGCCTTCGAGGTTTATCGGAAGCCGCAGACGCCGCGCGGATCGCAGTCGCCACCGCAGCAGCCACCACCACCGGCCCCAGCTGTGGGATTGGCCTCCCAATCTGGTCAGCTGCCCAGTGCTGAGAGCTTTGAGAAGCGGGTGACAGCCATAAGTGACTCTCTGCGCCACGTAACCTTCAAACAGGGCCAGGCTAACACTACGGAGGTGCTGCAAAGACTACGAGAGCAGAACAATTCACTGCTTCACCTCTGTAACGATTTAAGCGATGAACTGTTGAGCGTGCAGACGCGCAAGGAGGAGATGCGACTGAAGTTGGAGGGACTTAGTGCCGGTGATAATACTGGTCGAACGAGCTCCTCGATATCCGCTCCGGTGACCGCGAACGTAACCGGTGGATCCTCTGGTTCGACAGGACCTGCTTACACCAACGTTTAAGCAGCGAAAAATTATCATGTTTACTAGGGAGAATCGATTTGTTTTTGGACAACTTGTGAGCTACTTTTCTGCCCATGTACTTGTATCTTTTATTGGTATTTCTAAAGTCAACATTTAACATTCCTTGTAATGCGCTCCAAATTTTTTAAGTTGTCAATTAGTCCTCCTTTTCTGCATATTAGACCCAATTTTTTAACTTGGTCGTTAAATTTAAAAAAGAGTTTTTTTTTTTTCTAAAAAGCTACAAAATTAACTATTCTTAGTTGGAAAAGAAAGGCTAAGTTATAGTTATAATATTTAACTAGTTTGATACAAGACAAAAGAGTTTTAGGCCAATACGTTGGGAAGAAAGCAACCTGTACAAACTTATTTTTCCATTCAAACAAATCGGTCCACCCGTAATGTTTAACACATATTTTGTTGTCTCTGTATGTTGCAAGCACAATTTACTAATCGGGGTGTTTACACAGCGATAAGACTGGGCAAAGCTTGAGTAGGCGACCAAAATTTCCGACAAAATCGTTTCTTATTTGGGAAAATGTTTACGCAGTCTGTGGACAATTATTCACAAGATCTGCACCTTCAACATTTCCAGTGTTCATATTGCTAACTCAAGGCTCGCTCAGCTTTTATCTGCTAAA